CCTTCCTCTCTGAAATCAATAAAAATATATATTTTTTTAAAAAAACAGTAACAGGGCAAGCAAAGAAATACTTAATAAGTTATTTTAAATTACTGTGTATCTATCATCCAATAATTCCACATAGACTCAAAGCGACAGTCACCTGGTTAAATCAACAATGAAAGACTTAAATTCTGAATTCAGAATTTAGCAAGCATAACAATTTATGTGCTTTAGTTTCAGTGATTCTATGACATGGGAGAAATGGATTCACTTGTTTGGAATTTGTTCCATTATTCCACCATACTTCAGAATGCCAGCAACAGCACTAACAGTCCCCTTGATGTCCTAGAAATGGACCTATAACATTTTATCATCTTCTTATTTTAAACATGAGGCCACCTGTCTATTCTGGCTCCAATTAAATGGAAAAAGTAGGAAAAAAATGGAGCATGACTAGAACAAAAGATTACTGGCAAAATGAATATGTAAACAAAAGCTTTTCTCTTTGATTTATTGTGAAGTGACATTTAAATATTCTTCCATTAAAATAATGACCAATCAATAAATGTAAATGGTATACAACCTTGATTTGCAAAAATGGGTTGTCCTACACCAGTGGTCAGCAAACTCATTAGTCAATAGAACCAAATATCAACTGTATAGCAATTGAAATTTCTTTTGAGAGCCAAATTTTTTAAACTTAAACTTCTTCTAACGCCACTTCTTCAAATAGATTCGTCCAGGCCATGGAATTTTGTAGAAGAGCCACACTCAAGGGACTAAAGAGCCACATGTGGCTCTTGAGCAGCAATTTGCCAACCACTCCCCTAAGCAATTGAACCAAAAGGCCAAATACAACTGGTCCGATAACTCCTCCAAGTTCCAGAGACTCCAACAGCCATGTAGGAGGAGCTGTGCCTGCAGTAAATTTTAGCGGCTAACGATAACTTTTCATTATCTCTCTTCTCCTGTACTTCAGACCTGAGAGTTACCTGGAGCAACAACAGTATAAAGACAATAACCCAACTTTACTTTAGAACAGCTTAAGTGTGATGTGGTAACCTTGGAAACTAGAGTGCTCTCAGGTATAAGCCTGCACTGTTTCGGAGACAGATGCAGGCGGGTGGTTCCGAGTCTGTTGTGGGTGGAGTCACGCCGCCAGGGTTGGAATCCTGGCCACCACTTACCAGCTGGAAACTTTGAGCAAATTCCATAACCATTCTCAGCGTCACAAAGTGGCACTTAGACAGACTACATAAGACTATCTGTGGGCATGGTCTCCACGTCCAGCACCAAGAAGAGAATGAAAATGTCCACTGTTACAGTGACGGGAACAGCACTGGGTGCTACAGGCACATAGGACAGCACCCACCCACTCCAGGGAGCCAGGTGAAAGGTCACTGTCAGTTTAATAATTGTGCCAGTCAACAATGTCTACGAAGCTAAAACACATGGTACCAAAAGTTACATTTTACTTGGCATTTAATCTAACAGAAAGGTTGAGAGTAGCAGTATAAAGTGGGGCAAAGAAGCTGCAAAAACATCAACTATGGGCCATTGGCTTTAAGCGTCCTGGTGTGTGTGTGTGTGTGTGTGTGTGTGTGTGTGTGTGTGTGTGTTTAATTGCAGTGTTTGTTTTTTCCTAAGCCCTCAAAACATTTTTCAAAGTATATTTTTATTGATTTCACAGAGGGAGAAGGAGAGAGAAAAATCATTGATCAGCTGCTTCCTTCACGTCCCCATGGGGCATAGACCCACAACCTGGGTATGTGCCCTTGACCAGAATCAAACCCGGGACCCTTCAGTCCGCAAGCCGATGCTCTATCCACTGAGCCAAACCAGCTAGGACTCAAACTATTTTTTAAGGAAGGAAAATATTTCTCCCTAAGGTTATGACTAGCACACGAAGAACCACAGCTTCTCACCCCTCCCCCTTGGCACACACTGCCCACTGCCAGTGCCCCTCCTGCTCCTGGTTCCGCTCCTTGAGATCGAGGCTTTGGGGGCACTGTAATAAGGTTCTAGAATAAGGGCACTATTCTATGCATTGACTTGTGTTGAGAAGGGAAAGTCCAAACCCCACAATCCTCATCACTTCAGCCAGTAGGTTCCAATCTGCCTTCTCTCTTCAACACAGGAGTGCTCACCAGGTAAACACAACTGCCTGCCTCGTGTGGTACCTGGGATCCTATGGGAACAGGCCAGACTGCTCATGGCAGGTGGGAAACATCGCTTCATACATACAGCCAGCCACCCTTGAATGGCTTTGGAATAAAAGAATCCATGACATTAAGAAGTACACCTTCTGCCAAACCTGTTTGGCTCAGGTGGATAGAGCGTCGCCTGTGGACTGAAGGGTCCCAGGTTCAATTCTGGTCAAAGGCATGTACCTTGTTTGTGGGCACATCCCCAGTAGGGAGTCTGCAGGAGGCAGCTGGTCGATGTTTCTCTTTCATCAATGTTTCTAACTCTCTAGCTCTCTCCCTTCTTCTCTATAAAAAATCAATAAAAATATATTTTAAAAAAGAAGAAGTACACCTTCCACCCTCGCCAGTTTGGTTCAGTAGTTGGAGTGTCGGCCTGTGAACTGAACGGTCCTGGGTGAGATTTCAGTCAAGGGCACCTACGTGGATTACAGGCTCCATCCTTGGTTCCGGTCAGGGCACGTGTGGGAGAAAATTAATCGATGTGTCTCTCTCACATTAGTGTTTATTTCTGTGTCTCTCCCCCTCCCTTCCATTCTCTTGGGGGAAAAAATCAATGGAAAAATCTTCAGGTGAGGATTAATAACAACAACAAAAAAATACACTTTTTAATTAGCAGAAAAGTCTAGGTGAGAAGTGGGAGTCTTAAACCAGTTTGTATGTGATTCAATTTCCTAAATGGGGATTCAAATTAACAACTACCTCATGTATAAGGTAACGATAATAATAACAACAGCAGCTAATCTTTGAGCACTTGTACTGTAGGCCACACGCTGTTCTAAGCACTTTATAGGCAATAAGTGAGCTAACACACAAGCAGCACTCAAACACATGAGTCATGACCTTTATTTCTGAACCTTTTGTTTAGCATTAGACTCTTCGGTCCAAACCAAATCTTACCCAGAACAGCATATAAAGCAGGAGGGTGGCAGCGGATAGCTCAGATAGCTGGAGTGGGGGGATCTGGCTGATGGGTCCCCCATCCCACACTGGGCAATCCTGCTCCCCCTCTCCCAGCCAGGCCAGCCCCGAGGGACCACCATGGAGTCCCAGGACTCCTGAGAACACCACTGAAAACTCTGATTCTCCAAAACAAATGGATGGATAGTGGTGAAGAAGAGCCACCGCACACTTAAAAAGAAATAGTAAAGATGGCTGCCAAAAGCCCCTGTCCATCCCTGCCCACTTTGTGAGTTTTCTTCTGCTACTGCCCATTTGCTTTCTATTGTCAGGTGTTCCTTGTTATTCTTTGCTATTATCTCACAAGTAAACCTTGGTCCCTCTCTTAGGGGTAGGTTAAAGAGCTGTGGCAACCTAGCTTTGACAAGTGATTTTAAACTTTTTGTTTTTTCCAAACATCCCCAACAAAGAAGGGAAACTATGCTCCTACGTCCTCGGAGGTTATGTTTGGGAAAGAAAAGTTTTCCATAACCTGATCCTTGAATCGCATTCTTCCCCCGCCACGCACCAACTGCAGGCCCCACAGGCTGGAGCAGGGGAAAGAATTCTTACTGGGCCCACAGGGCTGGCACACCTTGACCGTGGCGCGTTGGAAGGAAAAATTCCTGGCGGTTATGTTAAGCCCAGAGTAGGCACCTTTCCGGTCCCAAGGCAGCTTTTTGCAGCTGTGACCCTCCCTCTATTTCCAGCATTACTTTCTCTGCCAAAATAAGACAGGGAGAAGATTAGAAAATAACATACTGAAAAGTTAAGTGGATACACCCACAGGAAATATCTGGCTAGTTCTATAGTAATCCAAGGTGCAGAAAGGTTGGAAAATGAGTTTCTTCTCCAAACTTTTGAGAGTGGGAGGTAAGTCGAGCACAGAATTCTCGCCTGGGAGGGCCTTGGGGACCAAGCTAGCCCAGCGCCCTTGTTTTATAGGTGAGGATGGGGAAGTCCAGAATGGTTATGGCTTCTAGGCGCCCAGTCCTGGGCAAAATGATGCCTACAACTCACACCCTGCCTCCCAGAATAGTGCTGTTTCCACTGGCCCCAACAGCAAAACCCCCAACTGTCTGCTGTGGGAACCAAGAACAGCAGCAATCCATGTGCAGACCTGGCACCTGCCAACTTCCCATACACGCTGCAGAACCTGGAGCCCAAACGCAGTGAACAGGCAGCTCCCCAAATTCCCCACCGGGACGGTCCCCACAGTTACAGAAGGGGGATGTGCTCCAAGTGGAGAAGCGGTCGTGCCCCTCTCGGAGCTGAGACCACAGGATGCCTGGTGGGGGGGAAAAATAAAACCTTCACTTCTAAGGTGAGGACCCCGCTGCCCACGCAAAGGGCGGGGGCCCCCGAGGCCCGGGCGTGCCCATCCCTCAGCGGCCTGCGCCACCCCGCCCGCCGCTCCTGTCCTCGGTGACACTGCCCTTAAAAAAAGGCCAGTTTTCTGTTGTTCGCATGGAAGGTGTGGGCCACATCCTCTGCCAGCAACAACGCGCGAAACCCATCAACTTCCGACGACGACATTCAGGTCTGAGGGGGGACGCCGAGGGGGACCCCGCCGCTCCCCGGAACCCCCCTTCCCGCGCCGCCCCGCCCCGCCAGGCGGCTTCTCCCCGGGCACCTGCCCGCGCCCCAGCCTGCACCCACAGCTCGGCCTCCCGAAGACGTAGCATAACCCCGACGGCGCCCCAATCCTGCAGGGGGTGGACTTGCACACCGTCTCCGCCCCGGTCAGGGGCCCCCAGTCTGCCACCCCTCCGAGCGCGGGACTCGGACCCCGAACCCGGGACTGACCGGCGCGGGGAGAGGGTGGCCCAGGCTGCCCGGGGTGCCCCCGCCCCCCCGCCCCAGCCCGGGACCCACCTGAGGCCAGGGCGCCAGGCCGCTCCCGCTCCCGCGCCCGCGCCCGCGGGGGGCTCCTCTGCGCCGCCATGCGGGCCGCGCCTCGGCCGGTGGGTCAGGAGCCGCGGCGGCGGCCGCCGGGCCCGGGATCGCTTCCCAGCGGCGGGCGGGGTGGGAGGCACGGGGCCCCGGCAGGGCGGGCGGTGCTCCCACCCAGGCTCCTGGAGGCCGACGGACGTGCCGCTGCACCAATGACAGGCCGCGGCGGGGTCTGTGGGCGGGGCCTAGGGACCGAAGCGAGGCGGGGATAGGCGAGGCGGGGATAGGCGGGGCGGGGATAGGCAGGACCTCAGTCTAGGGGGGCGTGGGATGCTCCGGGTGGCGCGGAGGCAACTCCCGGGATCCAGGCGCTGCTCCAAGGGAAACAGCCCGGGAATGCCACCTGGACGCATCCCGGGATCTCCCTGGCGCTTCACCCCGACGGCCCCGTTGAGTGGGAAGGGGAGAGAGAAACCTGGAGGCTGATGGGTGTGGGGAAGGACCAGTGCCTTTCCTCTCCACCGCACAGTGTCATGATTCCCTTTTCTCAGGTCCCGCGGAGTCCAGATACAGCTTTGCCCCAGGGGCCTGCTCCACTCGGTTGAGCATATTTTTTTAAATTTTATTTCCCTCTGGGTCAGCAGGACGGGGTTATGCTTATTTAGAACTTGCAGGTTACTCGAGGAGCGGGAATGTGTGCGTTATTGGCAAAATTAATCCTCTGACAAAATGATTTGAAAAGGGGAAAATGTGGAATAGCAAACGGTAAAAATGAACAGCCCAACAATAAAAAGATGCTCACAACAGGTTCTTTTGCCCCCAATTTCATAGTCAGATGGATATCCCCCACTTTTTTATATATATGTTTTTCAGGAAAAAAATAGAACTCCAGCGAACACTTCCTCTTTTTCCAAAATATACACAATTCCAGAGAAAGATTTTCTTGTGCATGTTTGGCACCTTTGGAAACAAATTTCACAACTAAAACAATATGTGGGAAATACCCTGCTCCCTAGCCAGTTTTGCTCAATGGGTAGAGCGTTGGCCCTCGGACTGAAGGGTCCCCAGGTTGGATTCCGGTCAAGGGCACACATCTGGTCTAGGGCATGCAGGAAGCAATCTATTGATGTATCTCTTTCACCTCCAGGTTTCTCTGTCTCTCCCTCTCCTTTCCACTCTTTAAAAATTAATGGGAAAATATCCTCGGGTGAGGATTAACAAACAACAACAATAACAAACAATAAAACACCTAGCTATTTTAGGTGGCTTCAGTATACTTAGGACAATGTCTACAAGTAACAGAATCACTTTCCCCCTTTTCGAGAGCAAATAATTAGCAGATCACAGGTTTTTGGTGAATCCAATAAATTTCTGAATCAGAGCAATAGCAATTAATATAATGTTGGACATTTGCTGACAGCTGATAGCTATCAGGCCAGGACCTTAGGTAATCCTTTTACCTATTATTTTAGGCCTTCTTTCACTTAATCCTCACACTTGCTCAAGAGGTAGGTACTGTTATAATCTCCAGTTTATAGATAAGGAAGACAAGGCTCAATAATTGTGAGTGGAGTGTTTGAACCTAGATCTGATCTCTCAACCACCCTACCATTCTGCAACCATGACTCATGGAAGATAATAAAAATGTTTCCAAACTCTGCCGCATGTTTAGGGGGAAAAAAATCCCTTTTATCCAAATCAGATTTTAACATAGAGGGAAGTGTTCTACAGCCATAAACTAACTTTCGTGTTAGAGCCACATTACTCATACAAACCAAATATCTTTGAATTGCTGTGTTAAACAAGGTTATGAGCAGCGATGAGTACAATTGTCTATTAAATTTTTTTAATTGATTTCAGAGGGGATGAGAGAGGGAGAGAAAGATAGAAATGTCAATGATAAGAGAGAATCATTGATTGACTACCTCCTCCATGCCCCCCCACTGAGGATTGAGTCCGAAACCTGGGCTTGTGCCCCTGACCAGAATTGAACCTGGTATCACTCAGTCCATAGGCCGACGCCCTATCCACTGAGCCAAAACCAGCTAGGGCTATAATTGTCTATTTTAGAAGCTGAAAATAGTATGACTACATTATTGTGGTGTAATAAAATAAAATTTACCTAAGTCTTTAAACTACATAATAAATTAGCCAGTAAATTCCTCCTCCTCCCACAATATAACATTTATGAAACCTGTTGTTTGGACTCAGCCTAAAATAATCTTTTCAGTTAATTCATGCTCAGGATTTCATGGTTTGCTGTTCATTGTCACTCCAAAAGCTGACAGTGTGGTACTTACAGACCTAGTGTGGTACTTACAGACCTAGACCTTGAAGCCAGACTACCTGGGTTGGCTACATATTAGACACCATCTTATGCAATTATTTAACCTTTTGTGCCTCAGTTTTCTCAACTGTAAAATGGGTCTCATAAGACTTTTTTCCTCATGGGGTTTTATAGGCATGCAATGATTAAATATGTGCAAAATCCTTAGAGTAATGCTTGGCACATAATAAACACCATATAAATATTAGCCAAATAAAGAGGATGTGGCTACATGTAGACATTTGTGATTGACTTTCTGAGTGACCCACCAGTGAATTACCAAATGCCTTAACAATTACAAGGTTGTTGATTTTTTTTATAAAACACCTAGATTGTGAGCTTTTTGAGGGCAAGTACTCTGATCTGGTTTCTAGATTAGAGTTAGAATATTGGTGAATAGGATGAGAATATGGTGTGAGGCCAGCTAAAGGTGGTCTCAGCTAAAATTTTCACACAAATAATTACACTCACCAAAATATTGACATTAGGCAAATTGAAAAAAAGGCAGTGCCCAGCATTGTGCCTGGAAGCCATTGTGATGCTGGAGAGTCAGCATGTGTGGCCGGTGCAGTGGCCACTTAAGTTAGTCACATGAAGGATCCTAATACGACTTAAATCAGAAGAGAGAGAGAGAGAGGGAGAGGGAGAGGGAGAGGGAGAGGGAGAGGGAGAGGGAGAGGGAGAGGGAGAGAGAGAGAGAGAGAGAGAGAGAGAGAGAGAGAGAGAGAGAGAGAGAAAGGGAGGGCAAACGAACAAACAGCTCATCAGCTCTTTGCAAATATTTTCTTAGGCTTTTGTTTTCACAAAGTTTTGTCCATTTGAACTCTGAAATTGGAATGCCAACCTCCAGAACCTTTGAAGGCATTTCATTAATGTATTTTCCATTGCTATGCCAAATCTTTCATTTCACTCATTTATATCTGGGTCAGCCTCAAGCTGGGATAAGTTGACATGGGAAACGGGCTATATACCTTTGGACAGCAACTGCAATCTTCACTTCTATTGAGAATTTCCTTGGTTGACTGACCTCCACTTAAACATCCTCCTCAAGCAGAGAGATTGCAAAGGAAGTTGCTGGTCAGTTGCTACAATTCCTGTACGAAGAATGCTGCCTGGCACATGGAAGGTACTTGCTCAACATTCATTGGATGATAACATGGATGAATGGGTGAGTGAAGGTAATGGTTACACTTGCTACTAAGAATCAGTGAAATTTCCCCACCTGACCTCACTTCCAATTGACATCAAAATTCAGTGTGTATGTGTGTGTGTGTGTGTGTGTGTGTGTAGTAAAATATATTTAAAATTTATCATTTTTAAGTGTAACAGTTTAGTGGCACTAAGTACATTCATACTATTGTGTAACAATCACCAGCCAGCCATCTCCACAACTTTTTCCATCTCCCCAAATAGAAACACCATAACTCCATTTCTCCCCTCACACTCAGCCCCTAGCGACCATCATTCTACTTTCTGTCTTTGACTACTTTCTGAATTTGACTACTCTGGGTATCTCACGTAAGTGGAATCATACAGCATTTGTCATTTGTCATTTTGTGACTGGCTTAGTTCACTTGGCATAGTAAGGTTTTCAAGATTAGCCCCATGTTGTAGCATGTGTCAGAATTTCCTGCCTTTGTAAGGCTGAAAGTACTCTATTGTATGTTTAACACGTTTTGTTTACCCATTCAGTTCTCAGTGAGCACTTGGGCTGTTTCCCCCTTTTGGCTACTATAAATGCTGCTACGAACAGAAGTGTTCAAAATTTGAGTCTTGCCCTAACTGGTTTGGCTCAGTGGATAGAGCGACGGCCTGTAGACTCAAGGGTCCCAGGTTTGATTCCAGTCAAGGGCATGTACTTGGTTGTGGGCACATCCCCAGTAGGGAGTGTGCAGGAGGCAGCTGATCAATGTTTCTCTCTCATCGATGTTTCTAACTCTCTATCCCTCTTACTTCCTCTCTGTAAGAATTCGGTAGGGTATATTAAAAAAAAATTTTTTTTTGAGTCTCTACTTTCAGTGCTTTTGGGTATAAACCCAGAACTGCTGGATAGGTTCTTCAAGCAGTTCAAGCTGGAGCCCCATGCTACCATTTAAAATGTGCTCCTTGGTCTGGGACTTAGTCTAATAGCCATCAGTGACAACACTATCCTATTACTCATTGACACCTTAGCGCCAGCAGGCCTGGGCTCTTCCCAAGAGCAGTTGTTCCTAAGGAGAGGCAAAAAGAGCTCAAGTGCTGGCGAGAGGAATACAGGAGGTCAGCTGAGAACCCGAAGGGGAACTGAAAGGTGCGGGGGTGGTGTGTGTGGAGAAGAACTTCACAATTTTGTGTAAGTCCAGACCAGCTCCTAGCATTTCCTAAATTAAAGAAAAGAAATGTAGACAGCTTCACTGTTTTCCAAATTCCCCATATCTGTCCTGCCTGCAGTTTGCCTAGAGTGGTGCTCACTCACTGTCTCTGGCCTTTGACCTTGATGTTTGCACATCCTGGGCCCTGGCTGACTCCCCTGGTTTTTGCAGACTCTGCTCAAGCCTCCTCTCCTTGGGGAAGCATTTCTGGACCTCCCACGATGAGTTAGAAACTGGGCTCCACTGCTCTTGCCCTCCTAAGTATTCCCCTGTTCCCACCGCATGCACCCAGTATGCGGGGAACCACCTGTCTGATTCCTCGTCTCTCCCACACTTGACTCTGAGCTTCCGAAGCCAGCGACAAAGGTCTCAGCT